TCTATCGTAATAGTCCAAGGTGAATTTAAGTAAGCCAGGAAATGAGAAAGCAACTTTCTTAGTGAAATGTTGCTGCCGTTGTTCGCGAGTTACAAATCTTGTCCGGATCCAAGTTGTAATATATCGCACGGTGACTATAATGATATTTAACATTAAAACACATATGTCCAGTACCATGTTTAGATAAGTCAACTGGTATGTTTGTGGATTATTTTATTAAAAATATAATTAAAACCTAGTTCCGTATAATGAATAATAATTTTATTTGTAAATTATATATATAAAATATTGTTTTATCCGGAACAATTATTTGTGGCTACTTTTCTACTGTACGCTTACTTGCATGATACAAATAACGTGCAACTACTATTACTTGCATTATAAATTATAAACTTTACCAATTTCAATTGTCATGATTTATTTTTAAGGGACCTATTGTATTTATTTTTAAAATTCTATTCACGACCATAATATTAGTAAGCTGTAACTTTAAACATTAATTACTAAACAAATTTTTAATTAATATTTATCCTTTCACTACATATACTGTATTTGTTTTGAAATTAAATTTTTTTAGTTAAATGTTCAGTAAATAGTTAATACTAATTTGTTAGATAATATGACAATATCATATTATGTTGTTATGTATAAATACATATATTTTTCCAATCAATATAAATGTTTGAATATATAATAATATAATAATTTTATTACAAAATAATTTTGCTTATAGATGCGTTATTTACCAATCTATTATCACACGTATCTATTGTTAATATAAATTATATTGATAAGGACATTTTTAAAGAAAATATAATATTTATATTAATTTACTAATTGCTATAATAATAAACGTACTAAAAGTACTAAATATTATATTTAGTTTGTACTAAATATAAATTTAGATTTATACATATTTCATAATATGTTATAATACAAACATTTTAGACATGTATAACTTATTTGTAAGTTAAACATATGATCATTTTTATATAAAAATATTATTTACACGTTTAAATAATCTCATATTATTAAAGTTAAACATTACAACTATTAAAAATAAAACATGGACTTGATAAATACAAACTTTCCTAAATTAGCGCAAATAATGTTATGGGCATTTAGGTTAAACGGTATATCATTGGGTGGGTTATCCATAAATGAGCATGGAGGTATTTATAAAAGCACTCTATTTAAACTACACGCAAATGGTGTCATTATATTAGTTGTTTTATTGGATTTATACGATATCTATTATATTGACACACACCACCATTATATTAACCGAAAAATATTTGGTGTCAACCTAGAGTATTTATTAATGGCAATTATTTATCTATCTAAGATACAACGACTGTATACATTATATTTTATTAATAGACATGGTTATCGTATATTTATGATCTGGAATAAGCACATTGCTCGTTATGCAAATAAGTACCCGATTGTTAATTTAAAATTATGGATGACTATTTTAATGTTTTTCATACATTATATTCTATTATGTATGCTATTTGTTTACAATGAAACGAATAGTCATCATCACTTTCGAGCCATTGTAAGAACATTTGATGTTAGTTATGTGTTATTTATATCCTGGATAGTGCCTTTATTCACCTGGCTTGTTTCAGTTCATTGCTTAAATTTGCTTAATCATTTGTTTGATAATGTCAAAGCTTACCAAATTATCACCAATAAACAAAGTGAGTTTTAAAATATTATTTCAAACATACAGTATATAACTCACTACTATGTATGCATGTTTTTTATTAAATAGGGTACTTCAGGGATATAGAGGTCTACAACAATATTAATAAAAATTATATTAATTTAAAACAAATGAAATGCATGTTTATCGCTATACACAACACAATTGCCGCTCTGGACAGGGAGGTAAAGCCTATATTGGTCAGCATAACCATCAATACGGTGTATACATCTATGTTATGTGTATTTTTTCTATCAAAACTCGATGAGATGCCATATCTGCGCCGTATGGCCAGCCTATTTGGTTTCACAGGTAGGGTTACCAAGTCATTTTAATTGTATACTTTGTTTGTACTAGTTACTTTTAAATTCACAGGGGCATCATTGTGGGTACAACTGATAATCTCGTGCCTCATATGTGGCAAAGTTTACGACAAATCCGAGCAAATTATACACCATTTGGATGTCATTAATGTTAGAGATATGTCGGACACGGAGTTCAATGAGTGGCTAATGTTTGCTAATGTTATGCGAAAGTCCCGACCCTTTGGGTTCACTATCGGAGGGTTCGCTAAATTCAATAAATCCACACTTATATCGGTATATCATAAATAAATTTTTGAAGATTTTATACTTATAATTAGTTATATAATTTATTTACAGATATTTACATTTGTTTTGAATTATATCGTAATTTTGGAGCAAACAAAAAGTGTTTAACCAAATTATATTAATGTCTAACATATGCATGTATAATTATTTAACGTTAATAATAACAATACGGTAATTTTAATTGTTTGATTTTAAATATGTTATAAAACACAAGTTGATTGAAATGTAATTTTTGTTTATAAAAAATGGTATAGAGTTTAGACTGATTTGAATGTAACTATAATTAGTTTTAATAAAAATTAATTTCATGTACAGCTTTATTTATAACTACAGTAAAAATCGCAAATGTTTAATATAAATAATTATTTAAATAATAAACTGACACACTTAACAAAAATGAAATCATTTGTATCAATATTATTTGTGTCAATGATTTTGGCGATGATTTCACATAATAGACAAGGTATTGATTATTAACTATATTTTATTAATTTATAAATTAAATTGTAGGTTATATGCAAATGCCACAAAAATATTAGAAATGTCCAACTATTATTGTTTATAAAATAGTAAAGAATAACGTGGCTCATTTAGGCAAACGTAACCCACCATGCAAGCAAGTGAGTGAGTATACAATAATAATAATTTTAATTGTATATAAAATAGATACCGTTTACCACGATCAGATTACCGCAAACGTAGCTTCCCAGACAGAAAAGGGGCAAGGTTGTATAGATAGATATTTAATATTTATAATGCCCATTAAGTTTTATTATATTATTTTAAAATAATTATTATAATTTAAATTTTAAAAAATTAAAATTTATAATTAAGATCATATAATTTAAAATGTTAAAATGTATATTTACGTAAATATCAAAATATATTGTTAATTTTTATTTACGATTTTCGTTAGTATAATCTACTGATTTTATTTATATATAGGTAAACCGGCCAGGTGTCTGTTTTTGCACTTTTGGCATTTTTGATGGCTAATGTCCACTGAACAAATTTTATTATCATATCATAATTATTAATCAGTAATAATATAATAATAATAAAATGTAATTACTATAAAGTTATATAATAATTTTATGAGATACTATATTTAAAATAATAGATTATAGCATTTAATACGTAACCGCATTACTATTGTCAATAAATAAAACAATTTATTTGAACACTCATTTAAATGAATTGAATTTTACAGTTTAATATGCGTTTACCTCATGAAACTAATTTCTATTTATTACATGATAATATGAATTACTAAAAATGACAGTAAATTACATTCACATGACTATTATGGAAACACATTAAAAATAAGCATACAATTGTGACAACAGCATTTATTTAGAATGAAAAAGGTAGCTCTCATAAATGTGAGCATGCACAATTATCGGGCAAAGTTAAGGATAAGCATATAATTGGAGACAACGGCGTAAACATAGAAAGCGAACTCAAGTGAAGACATACGGAATAAGTCGTAAATAGAGAACCCGATGTCGTGTTTGTCTAACCTCTCGATGAACACCAAAACCCTTAACCGATGTCTCAATGAAAGTGTTTTGCAATTCATATGCGAATACAGAATATCAATGCTCTTATGGGCGGATCTGCTGACACCAGTGGACAGGTAGTTGACCACAAAGACCACGCCAAACATTATAGCGAATGTGAATGCGGTGGCGAATTGGAACACCATTTTTGTGGTCTCCTTTGCGAACGTTATATACAATAGTATTTCTATGGCAGGGGTTCCGAAATAGTAGATCGCAAACAAACAGTATTTAAAGAAAATGTTAAATTTATGGGTCATTATAGCGACAAGGCCATGTTGATTAATCGCTCTCATTAACAATGTATTGCTTCGGAGTTTTACAGCCATACGAATGTCCATGTTGATTTCAGTGAATTTGTATTTCAGATAATTACTGGTCATGTATATAATGAAATAACCAAAAACAATTATGCCTAATAATTGTATCAAGCCGACAATTGTACATATTGTCCAAAACATAATACCTATTAAATTAATAGATAGAAAATGGCAACAGTTAGTTTTATACAAATGTTGTGGTTATATTTTAAATATAAATTAATTACTTTCTCTAATATATAATTATGATATTAATTAAAAATATTTTTTAAAACGTTTGTCCCATCGCATCATAACAATCAATATGGTCATATAGTTTGCGTTAATACTGATTATCCTTGCACAATTTACTAATGATGTTTATGTTCATTAAAAAACATGCAATTATTCTATACATCTCGAAGTGATGTTATATTATGCTATTGTACTAAATCTATAGGAATATAGTGGCGCCACCACTCCATTAGACTTACCAAATAGCGTGAATCCGGATTCGGAATCCAAATAAGCCATAACCGTTGCCCCACAGATCCCACCATTTGACGCCAATAGTGTCGACCAAAACATTTGCCGCATAAGATATTTGGCAAACAAATTGTGTTTTAACAAAAACTTCCGGTAATTACGTCGACTCAATGGCGGCGACACCTGATGGCGACGGATATCGACCACGAAATTACAAATATATAATTGACGCCTATTTTGAAACCATTGGATATTAATACCGATGAATAGTGCGACAAACGCCGCGACACTACCCATAATGGACAGTAGCCTCCCGTTACCAACTATATAGGTTGCGTCACATAATAGGGCTCTCGTATATGGCGTGTGAATTATGGCTGACGCTATACCTGACCCCCACTAACCCGAGTAACCCGCGGGCCAGTAGTTGTCGCGATTGATAGCGCGCTAAATAATTGCCATTCGCGTAGTCCTCCAAAGTTACGGGAAATAATACATACCTATTGACAAATGTGTCGATTATTTCAAATGAGTTAAGATCATGGTCATTTTTGTCAACAAAATATGTATATAATTTGCGTCACAAATAGTTAGTAATTGATTGCATTTTGAATAATCTTACTTTGAATATAACAATAAATATAAGCTTATTATTAATTTTTTAAAAATGTTTATACTAATAAAGTTTAAATGATCACCATGGAAATTTTATTAAGATTTATCAAAACATTCGATAATATCAATATTAATTGATCTGTTTTTCATTTATAGTCTGATTTTAAGTTTATCTCATAATGCTTTTAATGATAAATGACATTACAGTACACAATCTGACCTTAATGCAACTGATAATACAGAGTTTTATAATTTATAAAATCAAACTAAAAATATATTCCAAATAAAAACTCTATGAGCAAGATTACATGATCATTGCATTAGGTATTAAAAACAATATACTGTATTGTATTACGTATAGCATTTAGTTATTAGCCCAATTACTTTTGCTTATAAACAACTGTACAATTTGAACAATAATATGAATGTATTAATTTTCTATGTTAGTTTAATAAACGATAAAAATAATATTTGTTTATTGAATCATTGTTAATATTAATTACAATAATTAAAATTCACATCAATATTATGTAAACATATTAATGATAAACAAATGATTAGTGACAATCGCATAGACACAAAGTTAAAACATGCTTGAATTGTTAAAGCTAGACGGTTTAACTTTAGTCCCGTAATATATATGTTTCAAACAAAAATCATAAATTTTTGTGATTATAATCTATGAAGCACATATTTGAGTCTAGCAAAATCAACTTGTTTTGCCAATTTATTGATCTATATGTTGATCGATGATCTTAATGACAATTAATTTTATATTGACTATTATAATTTTTAGATGTTTTTATAAGATTTATGTCAATAGAATCTGCTTGTCTATAAATTTAAGTATTTCTAACGATTTATCTGTTTTTAATGTTATATAATTGTATAAACTATATGTCTGTGGTTTTAAAATAAAATCAGGATTATCGACGAATTATGAGTCGAAAGCTTTTTAAAAAAAAATGAACTTCCATACTGTACACGTGACCAATAGATAAAAAGCTTTCGACTCACAACTCATCGATAATCATGAATTTATTTGAAAACCACAGATATGTAAAGATCGTCACTATTTATGGGGAATACATTACACTCGAAGTAAATTAAATTCAATCAAAAAAAGACATCAAAACAGATAATAAGTATTTCATAAATGGCTCAAAACATGGAAAACGTGTCGTTTCGTTGGGATCTAAATGAAAAAAAGTTATAATAATTTAATTAAACACTTCATTTATATATGAATAAAATTATAGCCAACCATAACAATGGGGTTCATATCCACTCCAAACCCCAGTCTTGAGGCAATGTCTGCCCCCTTTGCCAACCAATATACCGGCGCCGGGATTAGCGCACCCGTAGCTCACTTCTGTGCCGTCGACCGCATAGTATTGGCTCTCATTATAGAAATAGAGGCCATCCATAGACGTGACAACGGTTTGGTTAGAGTGGGCGCCCACTAGAAGGTGTTCGAGTGGACAGGGCTTTAGGGGAACGCAGTCTGGATACGAGCCCCTCCACCGCATATCCGGCTGACACTTCACGCTATGTACCGGTAAATCGG